GTTATATTTAGGTTTAAACCCTCCGTTGGTCCTCAAGTTTGTATGAAAATCTCAGTTGGGTCCTCAAGTTTTTTTCTGTCTCAATTGGGTCATATTTTTTGTAAAAATGAACACATTTTACCCTAACCGTTAAATTGTAACAAACGGCGTTAGTTGGTGCTGACGTGTTGCATAGTTACGTGGAATTTTTATTACGTGGAATTTTTATTTAATTTGAGAAATTATGATATGGCAACCTTTATGACGTGGTGATGTTTTGACTAAAACCACTCCTCCCTCCCCCTCTGCTTCCTCCCCCATTGGCAACACCGGACTCAACTTTATTCTTTATGGGCGGTTCTCTCTGATGCTGATGCAGTCCAACACTCACTCACGCCATTGCCTACTGTCACACTCCATATGTCTTTCCATCTTCAAGTGCATTCTTCGATGGAAAACGACGAGCATTCTTCGGTGAGGCTTCAAGCGCCTTTGGAGGTGCCAGCGAGGTCCACTTTGATCAAGAGTTTGAAGAAAACGACGTCGGATCATAGAAGTGTGAACCACAAGCAGTTTGAAGCAACTGTTCAAGATTTTAAACCAAAAATGGCTGAAAGTGAAAGGCCGCGTCGTGACTCGGGGGAGCTCGCCGATTCTACTGAGCCCATTTTAACAAGATCACATGCGCCTCGCGTTCCCAAACCGCCACCGAGACCATCGTTGTCTTCTTCATCATTCCCCTCTCACTTTTCTTTCTTTTTATTTTCCTCACCACGTACGCCAAACCTGTGTCGTTTCTCTCTTTCTCTCTCACAGCCTTTCATTGACATTAATGCAGAGCTGTATATTGCAGTAGCAGCATCTGCAAAACCTGACAGTGAAAAAGAATAACACCTTTTTTTACACCTTTATCAATAATATATATTTCATCTAAACAAATGCAAAAGATATACAATAAATTATATAAAACATATAAGTAACTTTCTTTTATTATATTCACTGAAAAAATAATATTTAGAAAAAAGAATGATATATAATATATCAAAGTAAGAATTTAAAATAATAAATATACATGGATTATAATATTATAAACAAATATAATAATAAAAATATAAATTAATAGATCAATAAGTAATCAAAGATAATTAAAATAAAATAAATAAACATAATCGATAGATAAAAAAGATAAATTAAATGAAATAAATAAATACTACTAATGCAGAGATAAAACAAATAAACAAAAGTATTTCATAACTAAATATAAATTAAAAGAAATAATTAAATACGGTCAGTACATAATTAAAAATAAAATAAATAAGATCCGTAAAATTAAAACTAAAATTAAATAAAATAAGTAAACATGTTCAGTTGTAAACGGATATATATTACAAAATAAATAAGAAAAAACTATGTGTAACTGAAGATAAATTAAATAAAAAATAATAATTAAAAATAAGTTAAATAAAATAATATGTAATTCAAAATAAATAAATAAATGAATAATACAAAACACATGAATTTATTAAGATTAATATAAAAAGAGCTTAACATCTTACTCCCTTATTGACAGGACAGCCAATAATACTTTAGCTTATTATTAATATAAATTAATTGATTGACAGGACATCAATCAATTTAAGAAAAAAAGAAAAATAAAATAAAAAACAGATTCTCTAGGTTAAAATTTGATTGAAGCTACAAAACATGTACAGTACTCAATAAAGAAGAAACCAGACTGAAAAATTTATGACTGGAGGCAATGATCTTGTTTCCAATGGTGTGGACACCGAGGGATAGAACTCAAGGAGCAAGGTGCAGTGTCCTCAGCATCGTGATTTTTTTTAGGGTAAGGAACGCCCACAACAGAGAAAGCAAAAGGAAGGAGATGAATCTTTGCGCAGGATAGAAGACCAAAACGAAGGAGAAGAAGAGAACGATCGCCATGTCATAATCTCTCAAATTAAATAAAAATTCCACGTAATAAAATATTTTGACATCAGCACATTAATTATGCAACACGTCAGCACCAACTAACGCCGTTTGTTACAATTTAACGGTTAGGGTAAAATTTGTTCATTTTTACAAAAAATATGACCCAATTGAGACAGAAAAAAACTTGAGGACCCAACTGAGATTTTCATACAAACTTGAGGACCAAGGGAGGGTTTAAACC